CCGCGATCAGAAAGATTCCAACTTCGGTCCTCTGGGGATACTTTGCATTCATGTCAATCGAAAGTCTTCCAGGAAACCAGTTCTGGGAAAGATTCAAGCTTCTCTTCACTGCTCCAAACAAGCGATACATGTAAGTTTCAATCACTTCTCCTTGGTTTCTTGGTTTCTCTACAATCTTTCTAACTGTTAGAACTTTTACCAGGGCTGTGGAAGAAGGCCACTTATCATTCCTCAAAGTCGTCCCTTTCAAGGCAATCATAGGCTTCACCGTGTTCCAGCTCGTATATCTTGTGGCCTGCTTTGGGATCACTTGGATACCAATCGCTGGAGTTTTGTTCCCAGTGCTCTTCATTCTGCTAATTCCAATCCGGCAATTCATTCTTCCAAAATTTAACTCCTCTCTTGGAGAATTGGATGTTGCAACATATGAAGCTTAGATTCAATGACAAAGATTTTGAGCTTCAGGTTTAGTGTTTGTAGTTTCTCCCATATTCCTCCTAAGACCTTGATTGTCTGGGAGCTGACATTCATGGAGATTCTTGGGTAGTGATTTTACTGTATAAGGCTCAAATTAATTGAAGTCAACTTCAACTAGTTTGCAATAGTTTACGAAAATGGAATGGTTTTCAAGAAAAATAATTAATAAATTAATTATTGGAAAAAGCTGAAAAATTTGTGAAAATCTTTCCATCATAAATAAAAAATGACTCTCAATCTAGAAGTGTAAATTTTCAAGACTCAACAAACTTTCTCTTATCTATAACTTCATATATATTTAAATTCTCATGACCCAATAATTTGCCTATACATTTAACAACATGCCCATACATCTAAATCTAATATTAATATTCACAAAATGTAAAATCAATACCTGAAAATTAATCATAAAAATCATTTTATATATATATCTATATCACATCACCTTCAAAATCTGATGTGAAGTTAAAGATGAAAAAAACCTTCAAAAAAGAGTTAAAAAGTGTTTGAAATTATTAGAAAAGAAGTAAATGAATACCTAGTATTGTGTATTATAAATTTGAGGCATTAACACTACTAGCACTTGTGTCAGTGATAGTGGTATTATAATGTCAAGTAATAAGGAATTTTCATTAAGACTTGATTTTGTATGTCATTTTCTTTATTTTACAACCTCTTTTCAAAATTTGATTGGCAAACTCTCAAGGAAATAATACATCAATACTAATCTAATATTTAATGGATCACTTATTGAGAACTCAATTGAAGCTATTATAATGCTATTACTTGCCTCTTCAATGATGAAAACGAATTGGGTAAAGTAGAATGGAAAATTTAATCTCTTATAATCATATGATAATTAGAGTCCTATAGATTTAGACCTTTGACCTTTTGGAGAAATCTCACTCACAACTTCTATAAGTCCTCATTTGCCTTGGAATATTTACCCCTAGATGTAATCTCAAGACCATATTAGTTTTGCATTTAGTCTAAGTGCTCTATATGTCTAATTTCAATCCAAAGGTACTACTAACATCTTAACTTATCATGCTAAGGTTATATTTATTCGCTCTTGTTTCATTAGTAATCCAAGACCACCTAAAACATAGTCTCATCTCTTCAAGATTGGGCCATCCATACATGAGTGGTCATCTCATGATCATAAGATGCCCTAAAACATAAGGAATACCATCATTTGATATCCTTGCCACCAAGTCCTTCTTGGTCTAGGGCTTGAAAGCCTATTTATTAAGCCTTATTAACCTTTAAAACTTCTTCACTACATAATTATACCCTTGGTCACTAATCAAGAGGACCACTCTTCATTATTTCCATAGTCCAGGATTCTAGGATGATATTTTGAAACACCATAGCCCAATGTAAACCTCATGAGTACTCCCCCAACCTTCCACCATTAGGGTGCCCCAACTATGTGGCTAGAGTGAAGTTCCAATGAGTTATATAATAGGTAATGCCCCTTACATTTGGATTGAGAGCATCGATCATCTTGTAGCACATATAATTTTTACCCTTTATCCTATAGTGATTTACCATAAGATAACCATGAAGCAGAACCTAAACCCTCCATATGCCAACATACCACATGCCACGTGTCCAAAAGACAATGGTGCAGAACTCAAGTTTCAAAGCTTTGGGCCATTGAACAAAGGTACAGAGCCAAACTCCTAAGTATGGAGCTAAGGAGCGACAGAACTAAAGCATGGAGTGATGGAACTAAAGTACGGAGCAATAGAAGTGGAACACAAAGCAACTTTTGAGCATATAGCCCAAGGAGTGAAGGAACATGAGTATGGAGCGATTTGCAATAGTCCTAGAGTATCCAACATCTCAATGTCAAAACCAACATGTAAAACAGAGCCAAACAGAGTTTAGGATTATTTCAGTATATGGGTGGCTTAATATGAGAATATAAGTACTTCACCAACTAGTATGGTGTGAAGTTTGGGCTTAGACCCAAGCCGGACTCAGAACAAGAACAAGCATGCAAGCAAGAGCTAGACTATACCTTAAGTTGGTTGGCCATACTTGATATACATACTATCCATTTAGAACCCCTTATACCCCCCCTTAGCAACATATGCTTTAGGCTTTCACCTTTAGCCACTCTTAGTACCAAAAGTTAGTCTTTGGGACAAGCTTGTAATTTATTAAATATGGATTATCTTTAAATTGCAAATTTTGACATGGGAAGAATACCATTGTATTCAGAACAATCTCTACATTCCGTAGATATGCTAAATGAGCAAATCTAGACACTTTCCATAAATAGCATTTAGGACCGAAACTAATACAAAAGGTATGATAATGAGGTGTTTGGTAAACATGGTAAGTTATCATCCAGCGATATTGAAGGACTAGTTTCAATATGCGAGGGTTTTTGTTAAACTAATGCAAGACAGAGCAAAAGAGAACTAAGAGATAGACTGAGTATGCTTAGCAAGAAACACATAAGAGTTCTTATATTATGTCCATCTAGCTAAGTATAGATGCTAAGCTTAGTTTACTAACACTTAAACAAGAGGGGCTGATAAAAGGAACTAGCAATATTGACCTCCTACCGCCGTGGTAGTAAAGAAAGAATATCTGAAAAGATTAGCCAACAAATAACTTTCGATACTTGAAGTCACATTCACGACATCTTTTAAAAGAGTTAGAGTCAACTTTGAAACACTTCATTAAGTTATCCCACTTATTCATCTATATTCACTCTAGCCTTGGACTATTCAATAGTTATATCATCACTTACCACGTGATGTAACTTTCTTTGGTCACATTAGCTTTTCTTAGCCAAATTAATTCCACTAGAGTCCTCCCCTCTATTATCCACAAGAATTACCAAAACCCTTTAGGGTTTAGGAAATAATCACTTCTGGCTTTCACTCTCGAACTTGGACTTTAACTTGGATTTTAATTTGAATTTAGACTCAAACTCAAACTTGGACTCCATCTTAGCCTTGGTCTTGGTTTTAATTAGTTTCAGGGTCTCAATCTAAGTGTCAGTCTTAGACCCAGTTTCAACCTCCTTGTTGGACTCTTTTTCAAATTCCATCTTAGATTCCTTCTTAAACTCCATCTTAAACTCCTCTTTAAACCTTATTTTTGACTCCTTCTAGGAGTGCATCTTAGACTCTATTTTGGACTTTTCCATCTTAGACTCCTTTTCAGATTCCTTCTCAGACTCTTTCTTGAATTATTTTTTGAACTCCATTTTGGACTCTTTTTCAAATTTCATCTTAAACTCCTTCTCAAACTCTATCTTAAGCTTAATCTTGACACTTCTCATATCACAACACTTGTCATGTGTTGGTGATTCTATTGTCCCCTTTTTGAAATTTATTGTTTTATGCTCATTCTTTGAACACTTCTTTGGGAATTCCATTCCCACTCTCAACTTTCTAAGTTGGATTTTTTAGTTTAAATTTATTATGCTCATTTAGCTTCTTCTTTAGCCACTGCCACATTGCACACTTTTGGGCTTTACTTTAGGACTTTTTATAAGGATTAATTACCGACTTAGGGTACCAAACTAGACTTCAAGTGGGTGCATCCAAACGAGACCACCTACTACCTCAGATTCAAAGTTGGATAGCATTATGACTAAAAATCTCAAAATTGCAAGGCAATTATGAAACTAAGGAACCAACTCAAGTTCTAAGCAAGTAGAGCAAGCAAATAAAATTTTGGAGATATGGAACAGATGGAAATGTAAGAAGAACAAACAAGCTTTGCTTCTCTAAAACAACAAGTTTCCCTGAAATTTCTTTCAATATTTCTATGTTATAATTAATAATATACGAACTTCATTATAGATTTTATGTAAAATACTGATGGTTGGAAACAATAATCTCAAGAACTGAGCCAGCGTCTCCAAGAAATAGTTGAGAAAGAAACAAAAACAAAACAATCAAATCTAGAGCCTCCAAGCCTTGCATTCATGATCCTTGTTTTTGTTAATGGGATTTCACTTGCAAGGTGGAGCAGATTGAGAAACACATTGATGCGATGATTCCCACAGTGCTGGACGAGCAAAGGGTCAGAAACTTGGTCCAATCATCTCTAGTCGGGATTTGCGTGGTTGCAATGCCTGTGATCAGAAAGATCCCAACTTCAGTGGGGCATCTTCGCATTCATGTAAATTGAAAGTCTTCCAGGAAACCAGTTCTGGGAAAGATTCAAGCCTTTCTTCACTGCTCCAAGCAAGCCATACCTGTAAGTTTCAATCACTTCTCCTTGGTTTCTCTACATTGTTGGAACTTCTACCAGGGCTGTGGAAGAAGGCCACTTACCATTCCTCAAAGTTCAAGGCAATCCTGGGCTTCTGTTCTGGCCTGCTTTGGGATCACTTGGATACCAATCGCTGGAGTTTTGTTCCCAGTGCTCATGCTGCTAATTCCAATCCGGCAGTAGATTTAACTCCTTAAATTCAAAAACAAGGGCTTAAGGTTTAGAGTTCATAGTTTCCGTACAAATCGTCAATATTATCGTACAAGATTCCCATAAGCCCTAAATTTTATTTCTGATGGCTGCTCCTCCTGAGACCCCGATAGTCGGGGAGCCGACGTTCGTGGCGATCGTCGGGCAGCGGTTTCGCTGCGTGGAGACGGGGCACGAGATGCCAGCGGCGGAGAAGGAGGGGTATGGATCTAGCAAGAAATGCCGCGACGCTCTGTTTGATCGGGCGCTCCAGGAGGGCCGGGCGCCACTTAATTTCTTCCAGCAGAGCCCGGAATACAGGTAATGCGTGCTTGTTTCGTGGATTGGATCATTGGACTGCTGGTGTTGTGCTCGCAGGGATAAGATGATTTGCAAGCTCACTGGTGCTCTCGTCAACAAGAACGAGAAGGCGGTCTGGAAGCACGTCCTTGGCAAGAGTTTTAACAAAAAACTATGTAAGTTGTGCAAGTTTTCACAGGAATTGGAGCATTGTTTTTCCTGCGTTTCATCTTTGCAGCTGCCCAGGAGGAGAAGCAAAATTCAAAGCCATCGCAACCGGATGTGGAGCACGAAATGGAAGACGAGGGTGTTGACAATGAAGACATGGACTTTTGGATTCCACCAGAGGTCGATGGTAGTGACGCGGAGGTCGATACTCCTGATGCGGACGAACACAAGAAGACGAAGGGAAAGACAAGTAGGCCTGAGTTTTTGGTACTTCCTTTCATGTTAGTTTTTACTTGGCACAGAGAAATCGGTTGATGGTGATCAACTGAACCGGATCAAGACGAAGAAGGAAGGTATGAATCTGTTTGAAAGAAATCGAGTTTCTTACCAAGAGTGATGTCTGAATTCATCAACAGAGAAGCCCAAGAGAAAGGAGAAGTTGAAAAAAAAGAAGCATGGTTTTGCCGTTGATGAGACCGAAGATGCAATGAAGGTGAACAAGGAGCAAAAAGGTATGGAATGCATGTCTTTTGTTTAGCTCTTCTGACTTTTCTTGAACAAGAAGCTGGGAAGCGGAAGACAAAGAATCCGAAGGATACAGATGAGACTGCGACGGAAGAAATGACGAAGATGAACAACAAGGAAAAGAAAAGCCAGGGTATGGTGTCTTTAGTTTTTTTCTTTTTGACTGTTCTGATTTCTCTCTTATGGGTGAACTAAAAGCTGGGAAGCGGAAGGAAAAGAAACCGAGACAGAAAAGTGACGACTTGAACGACGAAGGTAAATGTCTTGATCCATCATGTTTCCAATTTTTTGTAACTGGATATTTTGTATCAGCCGATGAAGACGAAACACAAATACGGTATGACCATCAGTCTTTAACTGGAAATCCTAGTAAACTTCGTTCTACAGGATGAAGCGTTTGGCATTGGCTGTTGGACCGAGCAGTTTTGCGAGCCGGAAGAAGAAGAGGAAAACGGAGTCGTAACGTCTCACTTTAAAGCCAGGTACAAAGAAAATCTCCTATACTCGGCAGTTTTTAGTATATCCTCACTCGACTCGTAGAATGTTTCAGGCGTAGAAAACCAAGCTTCGCGTACCTGGAATCGCGGACATCCTTTACTCGTCAAATTTGGATCGCAAGAAAAGTAGTATGGATAGACAAGCTAGAGGATAGATATTGTAGTAGTGCTGGGAACAGGATCACAGGAATGAAGCTACTTTAAACTTGTTAAGTTTATTCACAAGATTTTAAAGGGGGTAGGGACCGAGCAATCTTACACGAACAGACCGATAATTTGACAACTTCCGGTGAGCTTTGGGCTCTGGAGTTGTTTATGTGGACGGCTCGCAAGCTTTACATCCTTTTCAATCCCACTCAAGCATTTGGGCCTCGTGGTTCTCAGCTAAGGTTTAAAGCTCTGATTTTTCGCTCTATCTCTCTTCTAAGTCGGTCCCTTTCAGGCGGCGTATCAAAGAAAAGTAGAGCTCTTCCTCATCCATAGCAGGCAGCAACTGGAGCTCTCACTTTCTCGACCGCGACTGGATGGATCTTTGCGACGGCCTGCCGCAACAAAGCGGCGCTCATCAATGCCCGAGATTCCACTTTTCTTCCGGTCTTTGGGACCAGGCGAGACGACGATCACTTTTAATGCGCCATGCCGGAACAGGAAAAAGGAAGCGCAAAAAAGAAAGAAGGAAAAAAAGGAGAAAAAAAAAAAAATCGCTCAATGTCTCCATACTTAGAGAAAATCTTTGAATCAAGTCTGGCGTCTTTGACTATGGCTGACCGCTGGACTCCACGTGTCGTACCGCGAGTAAGGCTTTTTGCCCACGTGGGTGTCGCTCCACGTGTGGCTATGCCAGTGGGCATCCGGTCAGCATTGCTGCCAAGTGGCAAGCATAGTGTATATACTATCAGGCGCACATGCAATTATAACGTAATCGTATCCATCCGGGCGAAGATTCTGGGACCCACTGGTACCTGTTAGATCAGTTAATCTTCCCCGGGCAGAAAAGTCAAGCCATGGGCATTCCGGAATGTGGGCATGCATCATAGGACCATCTCTGGCCGTTGATCTGGTGGCCTATTCCGCGGGCCGACTCGGGCTCCTTATTAAGCCGCGGGCAGGAGCCTCGTGCCTCATTCAAGCATTTTTAGGGTTGTTTGATCGCGTTGCTCTCCCTGCCCGCGCTCTAGAAATTTCGCTTCCATCGATCCCCTTTTTGGCTGGTAAGCTCGCTCGCTCGATCGGATTGTTTTTTGTTTTCGGCGCTTGTTTTGGCGCTCTCCACGCGGTTTGCCGAGAGAGAATCGGGAATGCCGCCGCTGGGGTGAGAAATGAGGGCCGAGGAATCGGGGCGAGAGGCCATGGCGGAGCGTCCCAAGCTGCTCTATGTGATCGTGCACGATGAGGCGCCGAGCGATCAGGGATCAAATGTGGATCAAGATTGGAGCCAGAAGAAGCGCTTGCCCTCTTCTCGGTACACTCGCGCTGCCTTGCAGAGCACTCTCCAGTTTATGGGCTGTAAGGCACGCCATGCATTCAAGGTGCCTGGAAAAATTATTTTGCCTTCTCTTCTTCCAGGATGCTAAGTTTTCTTACCTTCGACTGTAGATCAGCGTGAGAGTTTTCGATGTGCTACGCGTGGAACCGCCCTCCAAGGTTTTCGAGTACCATGGCTATCCAGTGGAGCAGCAAGAAATCGCGGAGGAGTTCCTGGAGCAGTCGAGCTTCCGGAAGCCTCCAGCGTCCCGAAGCAAGAAACGCTCCATGGTGGTTATCGGACGAGAGAAATTCCTGGATGTTGTGTGCGATGCTTTGGCACAATATCAATACGTTGGACCGAATCAAAGGGCCGACTTGATGCTTGCGTGCCGGTAGGTTTTTCTTGACATTTTTGTTCCTCGAGCTAGACGTTTTTTCTTTTTTTTTTCATTCTATTAGATACAGGGAGCGCAAGTCTTCAGTCACGGTTCTTCTTTGCGGCACAAGCGGCTGCGGTAAATCGACTTTGTCTTCCCTGCTGGTAAGTCAGATCGATGACGTAGTTCTCTGGATTTATACCCTGGTTGTTCTGTTTTCCCAGGCTAGCCGACTGGGAATAACGACAGTGGTGTCCACGGACTCAATTCGTCACATGATGAGGAGTTTTGCGGACGAGAAGTCGAATCCTCTTTTATGGGCCTCTACTTATCATGCTGGAGAATTTTTGGACCCGGTTGCTATCCGAGAGGCAACCGCTAGAAAGAAGGCGGGTACAAATCAATCAGGGTCAGTCGAGGAGAAGGATCTGCAACAACAAGCAGAGGTGCCAGTCGAGAAAAACTCCTCGGATTCTACTGCAAAGTCGATGGTGGTCCAGGGATTCAAAGCTCAGTGTGAGATGGTCATCGATAGTTTAGACCGGCTAATCACGTCGTGGGAGCACAGGAACGAGTCGGTAGTCGTCGAAGGCGTGCACCTAAGTCTAAACTTTGTGGTAACGTGGCTCGTGCTTTTAGAAAAACTTCTCTTTCTTGTTTTTTTTCTCTCCTAACGTGCTCTCTTTTCCTGTGTGTTTCCAGATGGGCCTCATGAGGAAGCATCCTTCGATCATCCCGTTTATGATTTATATTTCCAACGAGGAGAAACACTTGGAGCGCTTTGCGGTCCGAGCCAAGTACATGACTCTGGACCCGTCCAAGAACAAGTATGCCAAGTATATACGGAACATCAGGACGATCCAGGAATACTTATTCAAGCGTGCGGACAAGCATCTGGTCCCCAAGGTGAACAATACAAACGTGGACAAGAGCGTAGCGGGGATCCACGCCACCATCTTTGCTTGTCTCAGGAGGAAGGAAGGCGGAGAGGCTCTGTGCGACCCGGCTACCAACACTGTCAAGGTGGTCGACCAAGAGTATCAGAACCAGAGCGCCGCGTCGTCGCTGAGCTCCGAGTGTATGTTCCAACTTATCCAGCGCAAGGGGTCGTCGCATCACCTTATGGCTCTCATGAACGTGGACGGCTCCGTGGCCAAGGCGTGGCCTATAGAATCGGTGGACGGGACAGGAAAGCTTTCCAACGGCGACAGTGCTCCAAAGTCGGGTCCCGTGAATCTACAGTTTGGCAATTTTGGTATGAGTGCGTTTTCGACGGAGGCCGGGGAAACCAGCAGCAGTGGGGGTGGCGGTGATGGTAGTTCTCTTTCGTCGAGCTCTCCCAGGCACGCGGAAGTGGCCGAGAAAGAGGTAGGCAAGCAAGCTTTCGTTTTTCTTCCTTTGTTTCGTTTCTTTTTTTCTGGCACTGAGATTCTATCTTGGTTTTCGTAGGCAGTCGATGAAACGGCAGTATTTGTAAGCGAGGAAGAGGAAGAGCCGGAAGATGATAATCTCAGCCTTGATAGCGATGAGGAACTAGATGATAAGAAGGAAGAGCTCCAGCCAGACGAAGAGGTAGACTTTCTCTCTCTTTCTCAAAATTTTTCTAACTTGCTATCACCCACAGGTAGAAGGATCCGTCAGCGAGAGCAGCGTTAGATCAGACGAGGAAACAGAAGATTTCATCGACAATTTTGGGGACAACGACGATGGATACTGGTCCGAGGAGGAAGTGTCGGATATCATGGCCGCCCTCGAGTCCGGCAGTGGTGGCAACCACAGTGGCAGCGGCAAGAACTCGGTGCGCGCTGTGCAGCAGCGTCGCAGTACTGGTAGTAGAGCGGCAGTGGCGGCGGCGGCAGCGGCGAAACTGGACGATGCAACTCCTCGGATGGGTTTTGATGTCTATAAAGTTTGTGGCCAGCGCCAGAACTCATCGTCGCACAAAAGCTCGCCTCCTCTCGTAGCGCCGTGTGCCAAGCAAATGCTTCACACGCGGACGTCTAGCCTTCCAGTTCTTGGGGGGAGTCACCACCACCATCGCCGGCGCTCCGAGGCAGACATGGCCAAAGTTTGATCCACCCATCCATCAGAAGCTTCTTTCCAAACGAGGAACAAAGCTCTTGGTGGAAGTTTTGGTGCTGTTTTCAAGCATTGCGGGGTATGTAGAACTTCTCGTTTCTCGTTTTTTTTTCTTTTCTTTTTTTCCGTTCTGGCACATAGAAGATGTGAGAATGTTTTGTAAAGAGCAAGAGCAAAGCAGAAAAGAAAATCTTTTTTACGTTGGTTTTGGAAGTTGATACTTGATATTTGTTTTGGAAGTTGTTTTACAAGTTGATATACTTTGATATGTACTAGTTTTAGAAAAAACCTTACCTTTCCAGTGATAGTTTTTTACAATGTCACACCTTCTGTATAAAAACAAAAAGTTTACACGCCCAACGTACTACCTAGCTTTTGTAGTCAGTAGCATTAGAAGTAAGTTGCCAGCACGAAGAACTGGAATGCCTCCTCCAGCTTGCGGCAACTTATGAAAATCCCAAAGAACTTCACGGGACAAGCGCGAAGAAACTTAAATGAGAGAAGAGAGTTGAGCCAGGATGATTAGTTGCTCTCGTGGAACGAAGCCGATCGAGCCATGGCCGCCGGGTTCGTGATTTGGTCCCCTTGCATCTGGAGCTGGAGCATCTTCATCCTTTGTTGGTGTTGGTGGTCCAAATCTTCAAGAAAAATGGACATGATAAGTTGCGGAGCAAAACTTTGGTACCTGAGGAGTGCTGGAAAACAGTGTGCTTTCGATCCACGCCCAGCGCCGCCCAGATGGAGCTCCTCGCCGCGTCGCCCGGATCGTCGATCCGGAGCGTCTTCGGCACCCACAAACACCCACCGTCGGATTTTTCCACGGGGCGCTTCGTGCCGCCCATGGCCGCGGCGGCGGCGGCGGCGGCAGCGGCGGCATTGTTGGCGCTGGCATTCGCCGCCGCCGCCACCGCCGCCATCGCCGCCCACTGCATGCTCCACTGCCCCGCGGCCGCCGCCGCCAGCACCGGCGGTACCGGCGAAGGCCAGCACGGTATACCGCACGCACCGCCGGCCTGGTGGTAAGGCATCGCGTGCTGCCCGTTCTTACCACCCAGAAAACCCATTGGGAGGACCCATGCCGCCGCGGCAGCCGCGGCAGCAGCCGTCGCCGCCGCCGCCGCGGCATTTGCCTCCTCGGGGCATTTGTCCATCCCGCAAACTCCCGAGTTGTTGGCGGCGTTGTCGGTGGTGGTACCGCTGGCGGTACCAGTGGTGGTGGTGGTGGTGGTAGTGGTAGTGGTGATACTCTTCTTCTTGTTGCTATTGTTGCTACTTGGCGATGGCGAGGAGAACGAACCCCCGCAAACAGTGACCTCGGAGTTGCTGCTCTGGCTCGGGCACCGCTTCGTTTGCTGCTGCTGCTGCTGCTGGTGCCGCGGCGATCCAAACTGGAAAGCATAGCAATTCATCTCCCCGGCATTCTTACCGCCTGCGCTCTTCGGTGTCGTGACGCTACTCGGCGGCACGCCGCCGGCGCTGGTGACGATACTCCCCTCGTCGTGCTGCTGCTGGAGGATCTGCAGCGGCGGTATGATCTTGAGCGCGTGCTGCTGCCCGTAGTTGAGCGCCGCCGCGTGCGCCGCGGCGGCGTGGTGCTGGTGCCACTGGCTACCGGGCGGTACCGCGGCGGCAGGTGTAGCGGCGGCGCCGGCGCCGCCGGCGGTATGGTGGTGGTGGTGATGATGGTGGTGGTGGTGCTTGTTCTTGCGCCGCCCGGCACCCACGGGCACGTTGCGCAGCGTACCGCCGGATGTCCAGTAGCGCTGGCAGTTCTTGCAGAAGTGGCGCGGCTGGTTTATGTTATAGTTGTTGTAGTAGCAGAATTTGGTGTCCATGCTGTCGCAGCGGGGGCAGGCGACAGGCTTGTCGGGCTTCTTGGGCTTTTGCTGCTGCTGATCGCCGCCATTATCGCCGCCACTGCCCCCATCCTTGCGATCTAGCGCTTGTTGTAGATCGGTGGACGTAGTGGTGGCGGTGGCGGCGGCGGCGGCGGGGCTTTGATCCACTGGCCCTTCATCAATGTCGCAGTAATCCTCCTCCTGGTGATCGACCACCTCGATCACCTCCTCCTGCTCGGCCGGAGGAGAGTGATCGTCCTCGGTGATCGCTTCCTCGTCCCTCGACTCGTCCACGACCTCCTAAGATCAACAAGAAACGAATTCCCGAGGCAATGCCCAAGTGATTTTCCATCGCAACCGCAAATTCGCGACACCCACCTGCTGCTGCTGCTGGTGGAATTGCGGGTGATTCTTGGCGGGCTTGTCCGACAGTAGGGGGATCGTCTTGCCAAACAGTTTGATCGCCGGATCCGTCGTGCTGTTGTTGCTGATCAAGGGCTGCTCACACTCCATCGTCCATCTCCTCGTCATCAAGACGTCACGAATCCGCGCTGCCGAGTCCCAGAATCTGCATAGCCCGGCACCATTTCAGACAGCACACGGAATTCACACAAACGATCTTACCCAGAGAGAATGCGAAGCAAGAAAACAAAGAGAAGATCGCGAGACACCCATCCGAGCAACCAAAATCATCCGCAGTAAGCTCATCCAAGCTCCCGGTGTGGCCGACAAGCCATAGCTCTTACAACTCGAGCTAGACGAAAGAAAAGGGTCGCGGGGTCGAACACGGGACGTGGGAGATTAGGGCAACGCGGCGAGTTTTTCATCGTGCCCAGGTGGCACCCAGCCATTGGTGGGCTCCATTTTGGGGGACCAATGGAGCACGTGGGCTTGCGGAAGGAGGTCCACAAGCCCAGCTTGTGGCTATGGCGCCGTCCTCCCCCTCTTTACATTTTGTTTCTCCACTCACTCGACCCCACTACCCGCGCGGGGAAATATTCCACAGCGCACGAATATCCCGACAGGGGCCGAGAATATTCCAGCCGCTTTCAAACGCAAGAAAAAGGCACTGTCCCTTTTCTTCTCTTTCTTTTATCTATAGAGCAATAGGTGGGCGTGCCAGGCTTTTGGGGATTTTTGGCGGGCTCTTGTGGCGGGCAGGCCGCCACGTGGCGGCTGTGGGCTCGCCCCCCATAATGCACGTAAGCAGCAAAAGCTGGTCCACTTGGCACGTGGACATGTCGCCGTTAGAGTAAAAGATTTACTTTGGACGGTTCATTTCCACCCACCCGTTAAAAAGTGCGCACCAGGTAGATAGATATTTGGCCCTCTAAGTATCGGTATGCTAGAGGGGAAAAAGCACCCCCTTGGCAATCACAGCTAATAGAAAGAAAGAGATAATATAAACTTTTTCTCGTCATGGTTGTTTAAACTAATGCTATAGTATGGTTGTCAATTATAGTGTTTGTGGAAGGTTTTGATTCCATGATGCGTGCGTGGGCGAAATCGCGAGAAAAGTGTAACAGGTAGCGCACAACCTTTACATAAAGCGCATCGTCCTTTTCGCCCGGGATAGCCACAAGTGTTGCTTTTGGGAAAGAGATTTGGGAGCATCAAAAGCTCATTTTCTCTGGTCTATAGGGCATTTGGGAAGAAAATCTTTGTACAGCCACTGCCCATAGCCACATCTCTCCCACGTACCCCCCCCCCCCCGGTCAAAAGCAAAAGGCCCCGGTAAAAAACATTCAACGGTCAAACACTTTCAATGGTGCTAACTCATATTCGAATGATTAACATTTCAAGGCAATGATACAAAAGAGAAGCTATGATCTATGGTTCAGTGAAAAATCTCGGACGTGATCTTACAAGAAACCTTTGCTTTGCTTGTTTTCTTTGCTTGTGATGTTGATGGTCACCTCTTGGCGTACGTGATGTGCATTGGCGACTCGTTGACACGAAAGGCGTGAAAGGTGCTCTTGGCAACGCTTGCCTGATCCACCTCCGCGTACTCCACGAAGGCGATGCCGGGCTTGGCGTCTACCATTCGAACCTCTTTGAAGCCCGGGATGGAGGAGAAGAGCATCTGGAGCTGCGCGCTCGACGTGTCGTGAGGGAGCTTTTGTACAAAGAGGATGTTGTTTGGAAGCGCGATCTCGGGGACGGAAGTTCGCATTGGATACTGCGAAGGCAAAAAAGTGATCCAAAGATTGACAGCTGGGAGAATTGGAAGAGATCGGATTGAAAGAAGCTTACGTGATAGGAGTGGGATTCGTGGTGCTCCCGTTTTCTCTTCTCAGCTACACCAGGGTGAAAAAAAGAAAGAAAGAAAGAAAGAGTCAAGGCAAAAGCAAGAGAAAAGTTTCTTGTCTACCTTTCTCGTCTATCTTCTTTCTCTTCTCCTTGGGAATAAATGTGCCATCGAGTTTAGCCACAGCGTCGGACTTTGTTTTCGCATATTGAATCCTCTGGAAAAAAAAAAGAAGAAAAAAAGAAAGGAAGAACATGAACTGTGTGAGTCTGGTCATAGAATGGAACTGTGTGACTTACGAGAGCCTTGTCATAGAATGGAAACTCTTGCATTTGGCGCAGCGCATTGGTAGCAGCGGTAACATCCTCAAACACGACCCACGCCTGGCCTTTGAGCTTCAGTGACTTACACGCGACGATGTCGAGAATGTTTCCAAACTGCGAGAACACCGCTCGCAGCGATTTCACAAGCTCTGGCAGCAGGAAAGAAAAGGCTATGATAATCTATCGCGAAAACATCGCTCTTTCGACTCACCGTCCTTCTTGATCTTCTCGTTGAGATTGTTGATGTAGATCGTCTGGTTTGGCGGAACCTCGGAAGGAGGAGGCTGCTGCGCTTGCGCTTGTGGCCCAGGCGCTGGAGGAGCCGGTGCCGCGGTCGCCATGCCCTGCAAAATAAGAACCCTAAAATATGTAGGGTTTTAGGGCTCTTGTTTCTTCTTTCTTTCGATCAATGGAGGCGGCATCGAGCTACGTTCCCGTCGGGAAGAAGCAGCTGCCGAAATCGCGCAATCCCCTCACTGCCGATTCGAAGTTCTGGAGGCGATTCAAGCGCAGGATCGTCGACGAGCAGAAATTCGCGGTTACCTGCGTGGATTTCTGTCCGGTTTTTCCTCACGATTTTGTGGTCACAGCGTCCACCAGGGTAAGCTTCTGCCGCATTTCTTGTGCATTTGCGATGAGAATGCCGTTGTGTAGGTTGTGGTTTACGATGGAGCTTCGTGTCAAGTGAAGAAAACGATATCGAGATTCACCGATTTGGTATCTCTCTCTCTCTTTTCTTCTGTGTTTCTTGTTGTGAAGTTTTTGCTTCTCTTTGCCAGGCGTACTCTGGAAGCTTTCGTCCCGATGGACAGTTGATCATGGCTGGTGGCGAAACCGGGTTGATTCAGGTGGTTTTTTTTCTGTGTCCACAGTTTTTCTTTCGTTTTTAACTTGTGTTTCATGCATGCTCTAGATCTTCGATGCCAATAGTCGGATAACGCTCCGGCAATTGAAAGGTCACTCCAGGTACATTGTTGTGTTGAGTTTTCATACTTGATGGTTACGCGTTTTCTCTTTTCTCTGTAGAGCTGTGCGTTGGGTTCGCTACTCGGAATCAGACAAGCTTCACGTGTTATCTGGAAGTGATGATAATTCGGTCCGGTGGTGGGATGTTGCTAGTGAGGTTGCTACTTTTCTTGGTTTTTTTTAAGCTCTCTAATCTAAAACGAACTCGCTTTGCTAGGAAGCAGTGGTGAAATTCCAGGAGCACACGGATTACGTTCGTTGCGGTTCATACAACCCAGCGAGTCCTGGGATATGGTAATACTCGAAAGTGTGTGTGCTTGAGCCTAAGCTTTTTTGTAGGGTCACTGGGTCCTACGACCACACTGTGCGAATGTGGGACACTCGGACTGCAAAATCCGTATCGCTGCTGCAGGTTCTGCGTGATTTTTTTCATTTTAGTTTTTGAATTTTTTCTGACAGTACTTTGCTTTTTCAGCATGATAAGCCCTTGGAAGATGTTCTCTTTTTTCCTTCTGGAAGTCTTCTCGCAACTGCCGGTAAGCAAGTTTATAACTGTTGTGTTTTTCCTCTCTCCAAGGTGCTTATATGATTTCCAAATAGGTGGAAACATGGTGAAGATTTGGGACGTGGTGGCTGGAAAGGTTTTGACGGTCCTCGGGAATCATCAGAAAACTGTGAAGAAGCTGAAGCTAACGACGCCTAGCGAGTCGGAATCCAGACTTCTCACGGCATCGTTGGATGGGCTGCTGAAGGTTTTTGATATCGAAGATTTCAAGGTATTTTTTTCTGTTCCTTTGGTACTTACGAATCATAAATTTCCGTAGGTGGTTCATGCTGCAAAATATCCAGGCCCGATATTGGCAATGGATGTTTCCCCATCGTGTACCTCGCTGGCCGTTGGAACAGCATCAGGTTTGCTTTCCGTGCGTCAAAGGAAGAGCGTAATCAGCGAAGAGAGAGCCACTCAGGCTCTTGAAGTCAGCGGACAAGAACAGAAGGAAGTGTTGCGGCCTAGCAACTTCAGATATTTTCTACGTGGGGCTACCGAAAAAGCATCTGTATGTTCAATAAGTCTTCCCTGTATTGCCACTATTGACCATTGTTTCTGTTTTTATTCTCAGGATGACGATTATGTTCTTGGTAGCACAAAAAGAGCTTTGCGCCAAGAACACGACTGGCTATTACTCAAATTTCGATACAAGGACGCTCTGCTCGCGGCTTTGAATACAAAGGATCCAACGGTACGTGCCTCTCATTCTCTGCAGTTTGTTTTATTTTATACTCCGTGTAGGTGGTGGTTGCTGTAATTGAAGAACTAGTAGCTCGCAAGGGATTAGTGCAAGCATTTTCGAATTTGGAAGTAGGAGAACTGGAAATTCTTTTGGCGTTCCTGACAAAGTAAGTTGCCATGGTTACCATAGCATTGACAATTCACTGTCTCGTGACAGGCATGTTGCGTCGCCAAAGTATTCACGGCTTTTAGTTCCCGCTGCCCATAGCGTATTCGATACATGCGCCACAAGCTTTGCAGCTTCTCAATCGCTGAAACAACAGGTATGACCGTACTTCCTAGTTTTTTGTCAAGCGCGTTACCATCAACCTTTGGTATGAGTTACAGGTTACGAAGCTGAAATACGCGGTGGAGGAAGAAGTGAGGTTGCAGGAGTCACTGCAATCCTTTCAAGGAATGCTACAGACGCTTGTTCAAGCAGCAGTTCACTGAAGCTGCTTGGAACCATTTTTAATTTTTGCTGCCACCGAATCGGATATGAGAAAACATTCGATTCGTGCGGTGTTCAGGGACAGAGCAACGTAAGAAAGCGTTAAGTTTTGTTTTTGTTTTCTTCAAATAGGTGCTGAAAGAGGTTCGTAACTTGTCTTTTGTGTAATTTTAAGTTTGTTTCGCTATTGCAGGCTCTCATATGGTGTCACCATTGTCTACACATGGTGTCACCTTTGGAAGCTGTGTTATAATAGCCGGCGTATAGTATCCTGTTGGCACGAGTAGCGTAGAGCACAGCGGGGAACGAGGAGGTGAACAGGGGGATTGTACTGGCAGTATAGTTAAGTAGCAGGAGCAGGAAACAGTTGACAGGGAAGTGGCCCAAACTTCGAGCAAGATCCTGGAGGCACCACCGGACGCCCCGTTGGATGAGCTACGCGTGGATCCCAGGCGTTGGAGCTCAAGACGGCGGCAGGACGCACGTCAGCGAGCAAGAACAGATCTAAGAAAAGAGAGCGTTGGAATGACAAGCAAACAGGCTCGTAAGTACATTTCCTTTCACAGCTTTCTTTTTCAGGCCTGATTTACTGGCAGGCAAGGCGAGAGGAGAGAAAGAGTATGCGTTGTTTGTATTCCTGCGACGCATGCGTGTGAATTATAAGAGCTCTCTGGGTGTGCCTTGAAGGTGGACCCGAGAGAGAGCGAGAGAGATGGCATGCTATTTCTTTCTCTGGTGGCTGCTTGGCTTTTGTGTGTTCGTTCCTTGATGAGAGCTTTTCGCTAACTACTTTGGAATTTCCATTTGCAGGAGAAAGCCATGATGGAAGACGACAAGAAGAGAATTGTTCCTGGAGGCTGCAGCTGCTTGTTTACGAACAAAACCACGAGCGGATGGCTCGGTCGCTAACTTTTCCCATTTCAAGCGGGGGAGGATTAGAAGTGGGAGGGAAGGAGGTCGAAGTCAAAGCTACCATGGGACACAAACATGCAACATTAAGAGTGGGCTCAAAAAATCATGGTTTTCGTTGCAGCAGTAACAACAACCAAAAAAAACGAAAAAATTCTCGCAAACCGGGGTGCTGTGGTGCTGTGGTGCTGTGGTGCTGCTGGTATAGCCAGAGCAATTCGCGACCGTCTCTTCACTTCCTCTGGTACTCGCCATCGGCTACTTCGGCTTGCTCTTGCTCTACGAACTCTGGGAACAAAGTCTGGCCATCATCAGGCGAATCTAAGAACCAGTTCTCGATCTCCATTGGAATGAACTCTTGCGGCACCGGCGTCCTCTTATCAATCTCCTCGCTGGCTATCATCGTGAAATACTCCAACCTCGACGCCAGCCAGTTCGATCCTTTGAGTGGCTCCGACGCCAGCTCGTGGATGATGGTCTCCTTCTCTCTGGACAGCCGCTCAACGACTCCCATCGCATCGGCAGTGTTACCACCGGCGTTGAGAACGTCTGAGACAGCATCCCACCAGGCGTTTTCGATCGCGCTCATGGCTCCCTCCCACTCGAGCGACAACAAGACCCCGAGCTCTCTTATCTCTTCGTAGCCTGCAACTTCGGCAAATGATCCTTCGTAAGCTGCCGGAGGAGACGAGACTTTGATCGGCGCGAGCCTAGCATCATCTCTGCAAGCATCCGTGGTCACCACCGTCGAGGCCGTGCTTATGGCACCGCACAACAAGCCAGTGTTGCCATGCTGATACTGCTGCTCTTCAATCACGGTCGGGGACGACGACGGCTCGTCAACCACGGTCGGTGACAACGACGATGCGAGCTCCATCGCTTCGCTGCTGCTCAATGCCGGTACCGCTGGTGGATCGCGATCAAAACATGATTTTTCCGCGGGGCGACTCCAGTTATTAACCTCCGCGGCCGCTGCTGCTGCTGCCACGGTTGCTGGTGGTGGTGTTAGTGCCGGGGTGAAAAAATTGGACGAGCTGTGGCCGGTGAGGATCCGCATGATGCTGCTGCTACTATCATCCTCAGCCTTGGACGTGTTTACTTTCGGAGTGGCATCGAAAACAATGCTCCGCGGCCCCGCTGGTGCTGATTTTGAGGTGGCCGAAGCAGCGGAAGCGGCAGCAGTGGTGGCGGTGGAAATTCTGGATTGATGGCGCCTGCTCCAAGCACCATCGCCTCCTCTGGAATGGACCCGAGGCGTCGACGTCGTTTTCTCGGGTCGAAGCATCCCTTGCAAGCGGGCGACGGTGAGACTGTTTTGCCGGCCGTGCAAGGGAGTGATGTGGTTCTTGGTGAGGGGCCGGTTGCAGACGGGACATTCCTTGTCCGGGGACTTGTTGTGGAGCCAGCAGCAGAGACAGGGCCAGCACAGGAGGTGGCCGCAGAAGGTGATGACTCGGGCTTCGTTGGGCTTGTGCGAGCAGACGTTGCATTTGGGACTAGCTCCCAGGCTCGTCATCTTGCCACCCCGGTGAATTGAAGAGGACAGGGACGAGGAGGAGTCGTCTCGTCGGCATGAACTTGAGAGTGGCGGTTCCTTTGCGGCGGCTCTTGGAGGCTCCGCTGCTGGTGTTTCAACGGTGCTGCTGCGAGCTTTCTTCGACGATCCTCCTCCTCTCCGGACGTGATCGGTGGATTTCGGGTGGAGTGAAAAGGCCTGCTGCTGTTCCTGCTGCTGCGGTGGCGATGGAGAAAACAAGAGCATCGAGGAGTTTTGCTGCTGCTGCTGCTGTGGTTGGAGCTGGAAAAAGCAGCCTTTGCGACTCCAGCCTGTGGCGGTCATGCTCGTGCCGCTGCTGACAAGGTGGAGCTCTTGCTGCTGGTGCTGGTGCTGGTGCTGGTGCTGGTGCTGTTCGAGTTCCCTGGATTTGTCCAGCAGCGACGGAGAGAAGCTCCAGGAGCTCAGCGGGAGATGCTGGTGTCGAAGGAAATGGTCGGCGGCGGGATGATTTTTACTGAAAGGCAGTTGCTGCTGGGATCTGGAAGCCATTTTCTCCGTCGTGGTAGCGGCCTGGCTGTGCTCCAGGTGGTGCAGGACACTCCCCAGAGATCCAGGGAAAAGGCCGCCGTGATCATTATTATCACTGCCTTCTCTCCGGAGGCCCACGGGAACCACCATACTTGACGACGACGCAGAGCGCTCTCTCTCTCACTCCACTTCACTTGGCTCTAAACTAAGACAAGGCTGGTTATTGACGAGAATCCCGCAGCAGCACAGTGACTCTCCGACCTTTTGAGCAAGTTCGCGCTTTAAGCTCATGGTGATGGCGCAGCTCAGCGATCCTCATTAAAACGAGCATTTGGTGCTGGTGGTCTTCTTCGTTGTCTTCGTGGTCAGGGCCACTGCTTGCATCTGATGGATTCAACCCGCTGCTCAGGGCAGATTCACGTTGCTGGCGAGTGAAGCAACTGCCAAGCAGGTTATAAAAGTAGCAAAGAAAATGAGGAAAAGGCTAAACACTTCTCTTCTTGCAGGAGCAGCGGTCAGTGTGTCACAACTGGTGATGGCTGATGCTAGCATTTTGACAGGCAGTCGCGGCTTTGTTCCTGAGAAGAAAGCACCTGAGAACGCAAACAAAAAAGAGAGCACAGAGAGAGAGAGAGCGAGCAAGCGAGCGAGACTTTGAAGATTGTTTTCTGTTTTTCTTTCGTGCTGTTAAGTTTGGCATGCATGCAGGTTGGAAGTCTTTCACTGGACACCGGTGGTTTGTTTATTTTCTGTCTCGTTTTAGCGAGCTCTAGACCACCAAGCCTCGAGGTATAACATGTGAGCGTTCTGACCCGGCTAAAAACCATTTGTTGCATTCACAGTGACGGATGGACCGAACGAGCAGGAGATTAAAAAACTGGGGGGAGTGACTACACCCAATAATGCTTTGCTCCGCCTTGGGGAACTCTCTTTAAAAAACTGCGAGCAAGGTAAGAGGGGGGAGCGGCAGATTAAGCCATGGTACTCGAGGACAAAGCAGGATTGAATTGCGGCTGTGGATTTCGTGGCTGCTGCTTTGAGGAAAACCAATATCAAACTGGCAATAATAGGAGCATGATCAAACGTATGTGCAACTAAGGTACGTGCCCCTGCTCGTGACATTAGTTTTTCGCTCAGCTCATAAAAACTTCCGATGTGAAGGTGCGTAGCAGCAGCTGGGATTGCAAAATCGGCCCGGTTTGAGCACAGGACAAGCTTGGGATGGAGACCGAGATGGCTCAACTTGGTAAGCAGGCTGTAGCTACAGCAGCGCGCACCAGGTGTGTGTAGAGCAGCGTGCCTTTCCATATACGCTAACAGTCTACTACCTTGTTATGCAGTCCCGGAAAGATTTGGCACGAGAAAGCTTCGTGCTTTGCTTGGTTGATTCTCCAGCATCGCAGAGAATCAGCGATTTGACAGAGACCCTTTCGTGGGTTTGACATCAGCAAGAACAAGAAAGCATGCTATATGCTACGGCTACACGGTGCTGAGTGATGAGTATAGCTATAGGCATTTCAATCAATCCCGACTTAATGCTTTTGTGTGTCAATCAGGATCAATCAGGATGTAAAACAATCACTGTTTTTTCCGAGGCTTCGAAAGGAGAATGATCAATCAGGCAACGGCGGTATATTTGCACGGCCTAGTTTCTGTGGAAGGTTTGAGGAGATATTCTATGTAATGTTTTTAAATGTGGAGAGCCGCCAAAGGTGGACCACGCGTATGCGGTTGAGTATTTCCACGTATAAAGGCGTTGGAGCATACGACATGGTCGTATCTCTGCCACTAGATTCATACAGAGGAAAGTGAAAAACAAAGAAGAAAATGGTTCTTATTCATTGACCCCGTGGTCAAAACTTTTCTTGTAATTTTCTTCTTTGTGAATGCCACTAAACAATGTACTTGTTTTTTCCATTTGCATCGAAGAGCGTAGAAATTTTACTACTTGACCATCTTTCTTGCAAAATGTTGGGGTCATAAAATACACCGCTGTTTTACCTGTACATACGCACAAATGTGTGCGTAATCTTCGAATCGCTCTACTCCGCCAGGCCCTTGTTTTCCATGGCGAGTAGCGATGAGCAAACTTGCACGGCCCCGCTCACCGTGAGGAACATCCACTGCTGGCCGAGAGACTCCATGAACTTGGACTTGTGCAGCTTCTCAAAAACGCCACTCCCAGGATTTGCGAACGCAAGCTGACAGAAGCAAAGAAATATCAAAGATCAGATATCGAGATAAACATCAAGGAAGGTTTCCCTTTTTCTACCTGAACACCTCTGCTTTTCAAGATTCTCTGGATGTTTTCAAAGCCATGGATCCCACTTGTGTCAATGTTCATCACCGCTGAAATAAAAACGATGAGCCACGTCAAGGTTGCTGCTACTGCTTACGGGTTAAGTCGATGATCACATAGCGAATCGAAGACTGTCCTGATTTCCCGTTAGCTTCTTCCTCATCAGCTATCCATCTGAAGACTCTGTCATCTCCAAACGTTGGGATAATTTTCACGTCAGCATTCAAGGCATTTCTGTACAGTGTGTTACCTTTCTCTGATGTAGTTTGCGTTTGAAAAGTAAATGCCTGCATCGATTCGAATCACAAGAATGCCATCCGTTTTCATCGTGCCTGGGTACTGCTTTTTGTTCCTGAAAACGTTCGTCCCTGGTATTTGACCCAGGAGTGACGTGTGTGGCCTTGTCATTTGCAGTATAAGTCTCGCAAGAGAAATGGTAACCTGCAAAAACAACGCTGTTATATCGTCCATCTCAGGTGCAGAGAGTAGAGAGAGTTCTTACAGCGATCACAAGCCCCATCTGAATAGAAATGAAGATAACTCCTAGAAAACCAGCGATGCAAGCGAGAAAGTCGATCTTGTCCACCTTGAAAATTTCGTACGCGGTACATGGATCAATCAGCCCAATAACAGCAGCAAAGATAATGGCAGCGAGCGTGACGTTGGGAGTATAATGGAATAACGGCATGAGAACCAGCAACGTAACCATGATGACAAATGACATGACGATGTTGGAAAATGCCGTCCTGCAACCTGCGTTGAAGTTCACAGCCGAACGAGAGACAGCCCCTGTCCAAAACAAAACAAAAAACAAAGAACAAGATAAAACATTTGCAAGAGTAGCAAAGGCAAAGTGAAAGAGCACCTGTAGTAGCATAACAAGACATGCACGCGCTGCAAGTGTTCATGACACCAAACGCTATCATCTCCTTGTTGCCATCAATATCATAGCCTTTCATGGACGCAAACGTTCTCCCAATCGCTATCGCTTCCTGAATTCGTCGGTCAGTCCCCCAGGAAATTAGAAACAGCACAATTCGTACCATAAGTCCAATAGCTGCCACCACCACAGCAATTTTTACCGCTGCCAAGACATATGGTCCCGTAAGAAACAGCTTGTGCGTTGAAATGGGATTCAGGCCCTTTTTCAAGTGTCCAACGATGCTCACACCATGTTTCTCTGCATGAGTAATATATGTGCAAAACGTAGTCACAACAACTGTCGTCATTGGCGCTCCAGCTGAAAGCCAGAAGTACTTCCTGTTTCTTGTTCCCTGGAATGGAAGGTCTTAATGATTAAAAGCCAACAAAATCAAAGGAACAGAAACGCACAATATATTTTGTCACCAAGCAAAGGGTCACGAAGCAAACTCCAATGACAATAGTACGCCAGTTCCACTGCAAGCGAAAAAGAAAAGAATCAGACGAGATCAACTGAACGAGCAGCGTACCTGTTGCGGGTGTTCAAACACAGCATGGAGAACGGAGATAATGTCCGATTTTGTGGTGAAATGCGGTAGGCCGAGAATTCCCTTGAGTTGCTGCAGGCAAATTATAACGGCCACGCCAGACACAAAACCGACAATCGTAGCATGTGAAAGAAAATCAATAAGAAATCCAAGCCTGCCGTGAATGAAACGAGTCATCAGATCCAAGCTCAAGTCCATATGATGCGCACCTAAAAACTCCAAGACCAGCTTGGATGACACCTGTGAAGAAGGTTGCAGTCAAGGCAAGCCTCAAATGGAGCTCCGGCTCCTTGACAGGGTCAGCTTCTTGACGCAGCATAGTCCCCAAAACAAGTGACAATATCGCTGACGGTCCAATTGCAAGATCTCTCGAGCTTCCCATGATTGCATAGAGCAACGGCGGTAGAAATGTCGAGTCTGGACACACAGCACAATAAGTCATTGTGAACCACCGACCAGCGTAAAAGCACATTTTTCGCAGCTGGAAACGAAATGGAAGGTAGAGAACTTACAGAGCCCATAAATCGGGGGCAAGTTTGCAAGTTTTGCATATGCTATGCCCTGCAAGACCCACAGGCACCGTACGTGAGCTAAGCCTCTACGGTGAAAGTTAAAAGCAGCACTGACCTGCGGTATGGAGAGACTCGCAATTGTCAGTCCTGAAACTAGATCCGCTCTGAGATCCGCGAACTTATACTTAGCTCCCCAATCCAGCACAGGGAACATGTAACGCATTGCCAGAACAAACTTCGTCGCCGCGGTTTGATGGCGGAATTGCCGAAAGGGATCATCCGGGAAAAATGTTTCTTTGACAGTGTCTCCGAAAGCGCTGGCGGAGCTCTTGTAAGGCGGCCTCAGGACCTCCATGACTTTGTGGCCGTTGTAAGCTTCGCCATTGCTCTCGATATCTCCCATCTTACCTTAACCAATAAAGTGTCAGAAGACAAGAACTATCGAGTTACTAGATTCGCAGCAAGCTGTGACATGCAAAAGAAAGATCCAGAGGAGGAAACAAAAAGGGAAGAACGGGACGAGATGGATAAGTTACGATAAGTAAATAAACAAGCAGCGATTTCGGGCACAACAACAACGCGGAAAAAAACAAGCGAACACCCCCACTCAAAGACGCACAGCACAGCACTCCCGAGACCTCTGAGCCGGGCTCAAACATTTATAGCAAGCCCTTAACGCAAAAATGGCCTTTGATTGCACGGAATTGAAAAAACAACACACTGCAAGCAAGCAGGAAAACGAAAGAAAAGGGAGGAGCGTACCAATCCCAGCCGGTGGAGCACCAGTCGATCAACACCCAGTGACATCATCCCGTTTCTCGAGCGTGGACCGAACCGCGACCCTGGCACTGGACTTGATGATGCGAGTCAACCCCGAGAAAATGAAAAGCCCCCTAAGAATTTTTGTCCCTGGATCCCGGATTTGATATTCATCCTATCGCTATGCCGGTCACGGGAAACTTGGGGAGCTCGCGTAAGTGTCACGCACTAAAATACTCATTTCCACAAACACCTACTTCGAGTAATTTCCCTCCGAAAGCTAAATGCCGGCGATTGCTACTCCTCTCCCGCACCAATCCTGGAGATCCGGCACGGCACTGCCACTTGGTAGTCCCCAGCCGCTGAATCCAGCGCTTTCCTCTCTCGATCGACCACTAGCCCCCCAAATATCCCGATTTCCTGGAGTCGTCATCGATCGACACTGACAGGCAGCTCCACCTACCTCCTCCAATCGATTTGCAGCCCCCGGCGGCGGCGGCGGCGCATCGATGCGCCATCGTCTCGCTCTCGCGCCGACCTAAAACCCCACACAAAACCCCACAGAGCGTGCGTGCCAGGCTCTGCGAGATGCCTGGGGCTGTTTTGAATTTTGGCGCCAACGGGCCTCAATCGCCGGGGTATATTCCCGTGACAGTGATGAAGGCTCTACTTTCAAAGATCGATTGAGAAGTTTGATTGATTTGATTGATCACAAAAATATAAGCTAATTGACTTATAAAGAGGCCCCACCTAAACGCTGGAGCCACAAAAAGATATCCTATAAGATCACACCAAGAAACACGTTTTTGTCCTTGGCGATCGTCCCGAAAACTTAGTCCAGCTCTAGCTCGATCGATTTGATCGTTTTTGTCCAAGCAAACCGATCGAAGCTAGAGAGTTTCCTGGCATTCATTGCTGCTTCTGGAACACCCAACAAACACAAAGAGAGGCGGAGAAAAGAGCACGACGAAACTTGATTCCAACGTTTTCTCGAGCATTACAGATGTCGAGAGGAGGATGCTGTTTAGAGTTTGGACACGAGTCTGCGCTGTTGCAAGAAGAACGAGAACGAGAAAGCAAAGAAAAAACACGAAAGAGAGAAGACAAATGGGGTCAAGAACTTACGCAAAAGCCAGCTAAGAGTTTGTGAGTGTATGCTAAACCGCAAGCACACAGACGTGCCAAATAGTTTCTCCCGCCTAGAAAAATCAACGAAGGCATCCTTCGTTCTTCTTTCCTTTTTTCGTTGCGCATTTACGTTTAAGGAGAACCTGTCACGGTCGAGAGATTCGATAAGCACCTTGCAAAATCAACATGGAAGCTTAGGAAAAACTTACACAAGCTTCGACCATTAAGAGGCGTCCACGGGGAGGAGATTGCTGCCATTGCTCGTGTTGTTTGCGTCTTCCTCCACCTTTTCGTTCGCCAGTGGCGCGTTAAACGCCATGGGGAATTTCGTGACCCGTGGCTTCTCCGCTAGAACAGTCCGTCTCACTTGGTTGATGAGAACTTTGGCCGGCGGCTCCAAGTTGAGACTGTCGTCCGCGTACTCGGTGCTCACGTAATAGCCAACTCTGATAAATTCCTGGCCCAGGTACGAGCATGTTAGCAGCAGCACAGTCACTCCAAGAATATCTTCATCGGGGATTTTTGTCCACTCGGGAGGGTCCGCCTGAAAAAGAATCAGACAAACAAGAAAATTCCAGTCAGTGGAACACTTTCTAGACACAAAAAGAACAGCAAAAAATTCTAAAGCACCTGAAAGAGGAAGCGGTAATTACCAACGTTGACAGGGCCAACAAGAACACTCTCGAGAACTTGGTCGTATTTCTCATCTTCGGCTGATCCTACGTAAATGAGCTTCCACTCCAAATCTGTGGGAAAGGAACAAAACCGAGAAACAATTTAGAACAGGAACTTAAAACTCGTCACTGACCATCTTTGAGGGGAATGAGACACTCGTAAGAAATCTCAAACTGGAAGGGCTTGAGGAACATTGACGGATTGTCCAGCACAGTAACATTAGTGATGTTGATCGCGCTCATCCTTTTCTTTCTCCTGTCTCGCTTATCCACTGATTCTTGGTTCCCGAAAGCGCATTTTAAATCTTAGAGCTCTAGATCTCCTGCTGCGAGTGGAAAATTTTCAGCGATTCCTACGAGCGCGGGCAAAGAAGAGGAATGGGAGCCGAGAATACATACGTGCTAGCAGTGCGGTGCGCTTCCCCGCGCCTCCTCGCCTTCTTCACGCGAAGCCCTATCGATCGCCAAACCCTAAAACTAGAACCCTAGGACTCTAAATGCGGGAAAATTTTGAAAGAGGCGCCAAAAAGCTTATACTCTGGAAACCTTGGAGTAAGTTTAGCATAGATCTTCCACCATAGAGAAGTTTTAATTTTCTGCAAGGGCAAAGTAATTCTTCTGGAGTGAGAAGCTTATAGAGCTGATGAGCATAGCGTTCACGATGATCATCGAGATCACAGTTGATAGCTTCCATGAGTTCCGAGCTCGCAAGCGTTGCAAGAAGCTAGCAGCCACTCCTTGAGTTTGTGCCCCCGGCCGAGCATTCTCCCCTTGTTCTCCCTGTCAATCTTGAGAGGACTCTTGGCGCTCCTCAGGCATCTCAGCACGGCATTCTTCACCTCGGAGCTTCCCTCCACTTTGCTGTGCTTTCCCCATCCCGTGACCACCTCGATCTCCCTGGGAACTCTAGCACCCGATACAAACTTCCGCTTTGCCTCGTCGAGCCAGCACAGAAGTGTGAGATACGCTGCCCCGGGTGTCAAGCTGTGCATGTCCAGCTTCCACACCTCCGCCGACCAATCCACCGATCCAAGCGGGAGATTCATCGTCACTAGCTTCCTGACCAGCTCCAGTTCTTCGTCCGAGCCATCCAGTGTAGAGAGCAAATCCGTGGCGCCGAGGAGTGACTCCGGCTCTTGAGCATCACCGGTAAGCTGGGCTAGCGAAGTGAGCACCGGGCAAGCGTTGCTGACTGCGTTCCAGGAGAGAACTGTCAATCCAATCCTGGCCTCCTCCATCATCTCCATCACCTCTAGCATCTCCCTATACTTCCTGTGAGTCCCATACGCTGCGAGCATCGTGTTGAAAGTGGCTGCATCCAGCTTGTGCCCAGCCTTGAGCATGGCTTCCAAGACCTCGTCAACTTTGCCGTAGATGGCAGCCCTTCCAAACGAGACGAGCAACGACTTGTAACTCCGGGAGGAGACCCTTTCCCCGCTAGCTTTGATCGAGTTGAGTGTTTCCTCCGCCTCAAATGGATCGCCAAACTTTGCCTGGGCTTGGAACAGCGCTCTCCGCCCAGCTGCTGCGGCTGCTCTGCCCAATCCCTCTAGCTCTCCAAACTCCCTGTGAGCTCTCTCCCACAACCCATACCTCGCGTAGAACTCCAAGAGCGCGCAGCGGAACTTCACTCTCTCGGATTCCCCCAGCTCGTCATCAAATCCCGCAACAAACGCATCCGCCTCCACCGTCTCCCGCGCCTTGGCCATCAACGCCGCAATGTGGCCATGGATTCGCACATTCCTCGCCTCCTCATTGTACACCTGGCCCGAAATCCACGATTCACGCCAGAATCTCACCAAGAACACTCACCGCAAGCGCGATCTCGAGCTCCTCCTTCTCGACCAGCTGCTCCAGCACCTTGCCCCTGAGATTCCGGCTAAGCTTGCTCCATCGCCGCGCAATGCCGCCGCTCCCGGCGCCGCGCTCCCTGGCGAGGCAGAGATCTCGCACCGCCTTGTGCGCGGAGCCCCAGCCGGTGACGCGCACGCCGGCATCCTCTCGCCAGGACGATAGAACCACATAAACCCTACCTCCATCCATTCAATTTTTTAATATCATTAGCAAACGAAATGTTACACAAATACGAGTATACATACCATTTCTTCCTCGATTAGCTCGAACCATGGGAGCTCGAGTCTGGCGATGATTCCAGCGCTGTGTCTTTGACACTCGCAAGCAATCGTCTCAAACGATCCTGCCTGGAGGCTCTCTCTGGAGAAAAGATGATCCCACTCCAAGCGCTAGCAGCCAGATCATCACTTGGATCATCCCGCGACCCCGCGAAGAGCTCAAGAATGCTGCCCGCGTTCTCGTTGATCCCGGCCAGCTTCTTCACGGACTGGAACGCTGCCGGATCCACCAACAGCTTGCTGCAGCGGCTGAGATCGTCCTTCCAGCCGATAAGTTCCGCTGGCTCCCCGACTTTGTTGGTCGTGTAGATCTTCGCGTTGTCCACCAGCTCGCAGTACTTCTCCAATGATCCCGCGAAGAGTTTGTGTGATCGCAGCTGGCCTTTGATCGGAACCGCTCTCTTGGTGATTATAGCACGGCGGATGCCCCGTTCCACGGCTAGAACCGGTTCGCAAGTCACTCCCACTAATTCGATCCTGTATGGTCTCCTGCTTTTTCGAGCGAACTTCTCGCTACTGGCATTGCCAAGTTCTCGCTTTTCCAGATCAAGTTCTCGTTCCTGTTCTTCGAAGTTCTTGAGTTCCTGTCCCTGATCTTGTTTTTGTCCCTGTTCTTCCTCCTCTGGATCAACCGGAACCCAGTACTCCTCGACCACAGTTCCATCCTCGGACTTCACATATCCTGGTCCCATCCTGTATCTCCGGTTGTGAACATCTCTCGCCATGGCGATAGTCTGCGCTACAAACGGCTCCCAACTCATCGTCCCGTCGAAGATCACGTCCCTACCATCGTTGAGCGCCGAGACGAGCAGCGACGATGCCGCCATCGTCGAGGAGCTGTGGACGAGCTCGGAAGCCATGGCGATATCACCACCATCGCCACGCTCCGACGAACTTATCGTTCTATACACCACGTCCGTCTCTTTGAAAGCATCGGCTTCCACCACCACCGTGTCCTGGACCACGCCCGACCAGAAAGAACCAGCAAGGATCTCTTTCACCACCGTGCTCTTCCCGGCTCCCATTCCACCCCCGATGAACAGAAGAACCGGGCTCCGGTGCTTTGATTCCGCTGGAACCACAACCTCGCCTTCCCTGGGAACTCTCGAATCCTTGGAGATCGATCCCATCGCCTTGAGCGTCTCGAGCAGCGTCGAGATCGTCCTCTTGGCCCTGAGCCCGGCCATGATCTTCTGGAACCTCTCCTTCCTGGTCGCGGCCAGGACGGCGTGCCGGAGCGAATTCCGCCTCATCCCAGGGCCGCTATGGCCGTCGCGGACCTGATCCAGGAGCTGCGAGGCGTGGTGCCAGTGGAAGGCGAAGTAGGAGATCATGCAAGCGTCCAACTCCCGGACGATCTCGCGATGCAAGTCCAGCATCACCGCCTCGTCGTCTGGATCGGCGCCAATCTTGCTGAGGAAGACGAGGATTCCTTCCAGGCTGTGATCCGAGCTGCTCTTGTCCCCGGCGAGGTAATCCTTCGCGACCTCGGCCAGGCGCCGAGCAATGGCGCTCCCCTTGCGCAGCCCGAGCTGCCGCGTGACGTAATCCCCGAAGAGCTCCATGGATTTGACGGTCCCGGAGCTGTTGAATGCGATCTCTGGGGCCAAGCTCTCATACCTGTGCGTGATCTTGTGGCTCCTCCAGTGGCTGTGGTGCTCCATCCCGTGGAAAATCCCTCCCAGCATTTCGGATTTCCTGTCAATTCAATCGAGAACCCTAAGCACATTCGTACGTAGATATGGTCCATGCCGTACCAGAGCCCAGTTGGCTCGTTTAAATACAGGGAATGGCGGGGTGAAAGCTAGGGCCTTTTTCTCAGCGCCAAGCCGAGGCGCCTGCGCGGCGGCGACGATCGAGCGGCGATGGCGAGCCTCGACTTCCAATCTATGCTTCTGGATGTGATGCGGGATGAAGATCAGCGGCGGAGGCAGCAGCAGCAGCAGCAGCCGCCAGTGGCGGAAGGCTGCAAGGTAATCTCTCTTTGCGCCGATCGATTTCCTTCTCTTTTCCCTCCCGCGCATCGATGCCCGCATTCTCTAGCAGAAATATCAGCTTATCGATCGGTTCTTTCCTTCTCGCCGCACCGATCGATTTCTATCCCTCCGCTAGCCGAAATATCGCAGCTGTCGATCGGTTCTTTCCTTGTCGCCGCAGTCCCTTGCATCTCTCTTTGCGCCGATCGATTTCTTTCCCTCCTAGCAGATCTATCCGCAGCTATCGATCGGTTCTTCCCTCTTAGCGGCAAGCTCTCTTGCATATTGCGGCATTGATGAGCGTCATTCTCGATTGTTCTTTCGGTGTTTGCGGGAAATTTCGATCGAAATATCTAACCGCTCGTGCGATCGTCCTCAATCCATAGATGCATATCGGTCGTGCGTTCGTCTTATAGCTCATCGGTCGACCCAAGCTAGAGATCCTTTTAGCTGCCTTTCATTTTGGCAATGAGCACGCTCTAGTCGTTCTTCCCGTTGGCAATGGCCACTCCATCGAGCGCTCTAGTCTTTCTTCCCGGATCATCGCTTCATCGATCTGGAAGGGATCATCATTTCATGACTGATGTGTTTTTGGCCATAGGAGGAGGACGAGGACACTAAGAAGGAGCCGCAGCCGCCCAGCGATCCCGAGAGTTCCAAAGCGCCAGCGCCACCAGCGCCGCCCGGTGAATCGCAGCAGGAAGCCAAGGCGAAGGAAGCCGAGAAGAATCTCCCGGATTGGTTCGAATGGTTCGTGTGGGCTCTGTGACTCGAAAGAAATAAAAGGAGAAGGAAATGACTAGGTTTGGATCAGCCACGTGTCATGCCACATCGGACTAGTGTGACAACTGGAGCACCCGCGAATAAGAGAATATCCTCCAAGTTTATTAAATATCATGGCTAGTCAACGCGCTTCCACGAATTCAGGGAACTCAAATATTATGGCTAGTCAACGCGCTTCCACGAATTCAGGGAACTCGCCGCTCACGCTGTGACGTAGACACTTCTTACACGTCCCATAACACACAAATTTTTGGCTTGCACAAGTGTTGTTTGATCGTGAAGTTGTCGGTGTTGTGTTATGGAATCAGTGCTGGAAGATCAATCGTTTTCCAGTCTTCTTCTTCTCGAGCTGGCGATCAACCACGACACAAAGAATAAGATTTTCTTCACCTTGTCATGGTGACAACGCTCCTGTAGAGTCTACTCCACACGGCCAGACCTCACGGAAGCTCCAGCCGCGGCCTCACACTGACGCGCAGCGGCACAGTCCGGAAGCAAGCCAGACCCGTCGTCTCGGACATGTCGATCTCGGACACATCCACCCCCGGCGGCGGCCTCCACTCGAATCTGTGCAAGAGATAGGCCAGCGTGAGGCTGACATGAAGCAGCGCCAGGTTGATCCCCGCGCACCTCCTCCGCCCGGACGAGAACGGGATGAGCTCAAAGTGCTGGCCTAGCAAGTTGTGGCAGCTGCCGAGGAACCGCTCCGGCCGGAACTCGTGCGCTCTCTCCCACGAGCTCGAGTCCCGGCAGATCGTCCAGATGTTTACGTGGAGCGTCGAGTTGGCCGGGATGGTGTAGCCGGCCAGCGAAACCGGGCATGAGTTGAAGTGTGGGAGGCCCAGAGGCGCGGCAGGGTGGAGCCGCATTATCTCCTTGACGAGCGCCTGGATATACGGCAGGCCCGAGAGGTCCGACTCCTGAACGTATCGCTCACGGCCCACGACCCGGTCGAGCTCTTCCTGTGCTCGCCGCTGGACTTCCGGGTGGCGGACCAGCTCCGAGAAGCCCCACTCGAGCGTGGATCTCGTCGTGCCGGTGCCGGCAAGGAGCATGTCCTGGAAAGCCATATACCAATCTTAGAACTAAACTTTCCTTTCTGGAGCGCTTTTGTCTACCTGGATAATTGCCACAATCTCATCGTTGGAAAGGCTCTTTTGATCGTTGAGTGCCACCATTACGTCCACGAAGTCTCTCGGCTTGTCGCGCCTGAGCTGCTTGCGGCGCTCCTCGATGACGGAATTTAGAAGGCCTTGCAACGCGGGGATGATTGTTTTTCTTATCCTCTGGTCCTTGCCTCGCAGCCGATCCAGCCAGTGCAGTGCTGGGATGTAGTCTCCGAGGTAGATCTTGCCGCTCTCCTGTGTGAGCATACCCCAAGTTGCACGGTACGCTGCTGCCTCTGCCACAGGAGGCAGGTCGCTGGTGTAGAACTTTTTCCCGAAGAGGACGCTGCTCATGAGATTTGTAAGCAGCTCCTGGAAGCAGACGCTGAGGTTCACTTCCTCTCCGGCGGCAGCCCGCATTGCAATGCTGTTGCAAAAGTCATGCAGCTCCGCCTTTCTTATCCCCCCGAACATGTTCACCTTGGAAGCTGTGAAAAGCTCCGTGCTGCATATCTTTCTCAGGTTCTTCCATCTGCCGCCATAAGGCGCGAACACCAAGTCTTTGAAATTCTGGCTGATGTGCTTGAATGGTGTCGAGTAGCGCGGCCGACTGGCGAACTGCACATCGTGTTCCCGGAACACCGCCCTGGCCACCTCCGGACTGCTGATCACTACCGTCGCCCTGCTTCCCATGTTGAGATAAACAATCGGTCCATACTTGGTGGCAAGCTCTGCGAAGCTGCGGTGAAGATTGCGCCTCGAGACGCAGAATAAGCACCCCACAATCGGCCATCCCCACGGCCCCGGCGGTAGCTTCTGCCAATGGCTGTAGACATTCCCAAGACTTGCTAGGAGAGCACCGGCAGCAGCAACACATAGCCAGCCTATCCAGAACATCTTCTTCACGTTTTTAAGTGCCCGCGGTCAGAAGAGACGAAACGGAATCCAAAGAATGCCCGCTGTTCACAAATGAGCCTCTATAAATATTCCGGGTTACCTCTAGGTGCCGCTGTAGCTTTTGAGACTGGCTCCAAACCACTGGCGTTTTTTGTTGCGCGGCAATGCCTCCAAAGAGAGAAGCTTCCAAGCTATCTTCGTCGTCCACTTCGCGAAAAAATCATTTTAATAACATAGTGGATACTCAATTATTCGATACTCCACCTCGAGATGGAGCAAAGAGCCGGTCATTCGCTCCTGCCAAAAACGATTTAAGTCGCCTGATATCGTCAAAAGAAAACCGGCTTACCTGTCCGGTGGTTGGATAGGTACAGCTTGTTAGCCGAACAGCCACTAAACCATTTCAATTTGACGCGGCTAAGTCGGTGATGAGCAGATTTTTCCAGAGAGATACTTCTCTACAAGATAGTGACATGATCTTTGAAACTAAAAGGGGACTCGCACTTTCCTGCAATCGAAAACAAATGTCGGCGCAAGTGAAGACACTAAAGTACCTAAGCATTACCTTGACAAATCGCTGGAACCTTTTTCCGAAAGTGAACTGAAAATTAAAGATTTGCCTGGTGAAATCGGCCATGAACTCAACCATTTCAAGAGGAAACAATTTCCAAAACCGTTTCTAGATCCAGTAAGTTCTAGTTTGTGGAGGCTCCACACTCCGCAAATGTTCTACAGAACTGTTACCTGAAAGCGAAAGTGATCTTACTAAGCAGAAGATGTTGCCACCGCCACTTCGCTGTCAGGAAGACCACCCCATTCCGTCCAAGAGCCATCATAAACAGGTACACTGGCAACGCCAAGTTGATAGAGGGCCTACATCACATTATTTAGAATTGGAGGATTCTGGAGAACCGAAAAAGTAAAAAATCTTACCAAAGAAAGGACGCAAGCAGTAACGCCAGTTCCACAAGATGCAACTACAGGAACTTCCAGGTTCAATCCTACACCGAAACGTAATTATTGAGGTGAACTTTCAAAGATTACAATACCCGCATCTTCAAATGTCTTTTGAAGACCATTAATAGGTAAAAGCATTCCTTCCTGATTCAAGACCTGCAGTCACACCTATCGATTAAGAGAGAAACAAAATACAATGTAAAACAAATCGGTACCTCTGTGAAAGGTATACATTTACTTCCAGGCACATGACCTGCTCGGATACCCTTTCTTGGCTCACTTGCAGCACCATAAAATCTAAACAAAAGATATAAAACGGAACCCGAGTCAGACTTCACCTTGGTTTACTGCGAGCATCAATATGCTGAAATGTCCTCTCTTCGACATTTTTCTTCACCTATTGTTGAACATTAAAAGTCAAATATTTTAATAGTCGCCGATAGATACCTGTTCTAGGGACCACACCAGACTCTGCTGGAATGACGTTTTGAAACCTCCAACTCCAGCCTTGACAACAAAGCATAAGCGTTTGATGAGAAAAACAACCTGTGGTTACCTGTGGTTTTCGAACTGCTGCAACAGATGCCTCAATCTTGGACAAGGCCCCCGCCGGGACGGACGAGTCTACGGGATAAGAAGAGGCAAGCCATTTTGGTAAGCCTCCGTCCAGCACATAGACGTTCTTGTGACCGAAAACTCTGAACATCCTTGACAATTACGAATAACAAAACTCAATGCGAAGAAACCGAAAGTGGAAAGGTGATAAAGCATCATACCACCATACGCGTGCCGAACTGAAGATGCCTTTTCCATCATATGCAACTATTGTATCCGTGTTTTGGAGATCCAAAGCCGACAAAGCAGCAGCAAAGGCTGTCTCCACAGGAAGCATATGAGGAAGCTGCAAGGCGGCATTTCGAGACAACTTGACAAGCCGAAAAATCAATGCAAAGGCACTCACATCCACTTTATCGTCGACAATTCCATCGATATCAAAGAATAAAGCACCCGGAATACGACACTTCTGCATTCCAGCATTAGTGCAGAGAATCTGCGCTCTCATGAAATGCGCACCTTGAACTCTTCCAGAGGATTGCGTTGCTCAGCCGGCATGTACCAGGATGCGTCCAAGACCTGCGTGAAAAAAACCAAAATTAGCATAAAATGAACAAAATTTCATTGAGTACTAAACCTTGACATGAGGTAGATTTAGATTTTGGTGAAGCCATTCCACAGACACGATCGCGCTTTTAGATTTCTCGATGCTCATCTTGTCGCTAAAAGAACTTCCAGCATGCAATGTACTAGCCCTCACACACGAGCTCCGAAAAAATCCACGCTGCTCGATAGCAGCGATTTTCAAGCTAGATGGAGCTGGTACTACGGCTGCCTGGTCAGATCTCGACATTTCAAACACTAGCAGCGAATGGTAAGAAAGACCGAAGGAAAAGAGGGATTACGAGATCGCGAGAGACAAGAAGAGATTACAACGCAAGGATTAAATACCTTCGAGAGGAAATTCGCGGAGACACCTCCGAATCGATGAGCGCCTCGCCAAGCGCCAGCGGCCCAGCTCACGCTCGTAGCCATATACAAAGACGAGCCCTAACTCTGACCTCGAAAATATTTTCTTCTATTTGAGCTTACGGCGATGGCGCTAAGCAAGGCGAAGGACATTGTGGCGCACAATCCTCTCGTTGTCTTCAGGTATGTCGATCGATCGATCGGTCATCGAATTTTTCATGACGATGATCTTGCCAAGGTTTTCTTCTCGCTTCTTGGTTGATTAGCTTGCTCTATATTGCCGCAGCAAGACGTATTGCCCCTTCTGTGTCAAAGTAAAGGAGCTCTTTTCCAGCATTGGAGCGCAACCTAAAGTCGTGGAGCTCGACTCAGAGGGTAAAGATTCTTTTTTTCCTTGCGCATTTCCTTGTTCTTCGTCTCTCTCAATCTGCCAATCCATTCCAATGGTTTCCATCGAAATTCCAAATCCTTCGCATGGTTTCACTTCTTTTTGTCCTCGCAAATCCTTCGACGATTGATGGCTCTTTTCCTTCTATCCAGCCGATGGAGCCGATCTACAGGCAGCACTGGCCGAATGGACTGGACAAAGAAGCGTTCCCAGCGTTTTCGTGGGTGGAAAACACGTCGGTGGCTGCGATGGTACGTAAAAATCACTCGAAACTGCGAGCTAGAAAACTTGCCTCTTTGATTTCCAGATACTACTAAAAAGCACAACAGCGGCCAGCTAGTTCCAATGCTCAAGGACGCCGGACTGCTGAAGTAAAACTCCGATTCTAGAGGCCAGTTCTTCGATCTCATCTCTTTTTCTCATTTTTGTGCTTTCCTTCATCCATCTCATAAGTTAGCTATAGAACTTTAGGAGTACCTTCATACTGTTCTTGCACGAGCTGTGCGTTGCAAGTCGAATCTCCGCTCCTTGTTTATCTGAAAGCCTTTCGCAGCTGTTCGTGAGAAACGTAGCCGTGATGCTCCGGTTTAACTTCCGGCTTGGCAATCGCCGGCGGCATCACAAACTTCCGCCGGCTAGCGATCTCCTGCCTGCTAGCCTCGGGGCTCAGCTTTGAGAGCCCGTGCCTCGGTGTTGGGAGTGAGAACCTCTTCCTCTTCTCGTCCAGTGCTTGATCGTAAGTTACGGGCCTCTGCTTGGGAGTGCTAGAGGACCTCGTCTTTGCTTTAGCCGATTGAGTCTGGTTCATGTAGCTGGGCCTGCACTTTGGATCTTCCGGGGCAGCACCCGGGCGATTGTTGGAGTTGGAGTTTGTGTGCTGGGCCCTGGAAGAGAGCACGCGAGGCGCCAGTAAAATCGATCGCGGGGTACCTCTCGACGAAGGCGGGGGGCTACCACCCTCCGAGTGCCTGTCCGAGTATATGGACGAAAACTTGAAGCTGTCCTGCGACGGGTACGCTCTGTGCACTGGTCCCGAGTTTCTTGACGTCGCATTGTTGGTTCTGGCAGTGGTCCCGCTGGGCTTGTGGAATCCATCCGCACAGCGAGCAGCGTGGACGTTGTTTTCTTTGCCACTGCTCTGCTGCTTCTCCTGGTTAGCCAGTATTCGATTCTCCCACGGCTTGGCTGCCATCCAGCGCTCCAGCCAGCTCCATCCCCAATGGTTCTTTTCGGGTTCACTGCCGATGTACATTCCAGAGCTTGGCTTCGAGTTGGGCCTCCACTGCAGAAACCCGACAATTGATTCCCGACGGAACACAGTTTTCTTCACGTACCTGGTGAGAGAATGCATAGGCCAGTGCTCGTTCTCGCTTGACGGCTGCTTCTTGCTTTTGAAAAAGCTTCGCTTCGATCTCCTCTTTGGTACCATGGCAAGCACACCACCCGAGCTGCAAGAGAAAGAGGAATTTGTAAGTGAGAAATAAGAAAAGGATAAACTGGCAAATGTACCTCGGCCTGGTGACGCTGAGCTTCAAGCATCCGACGCTGCTCGATCCGCCATCTCACTTGCTGGCCTTCCTCAGACATCCGGACCTGGCGAGCTCGGACTCGGGCCTGGACACGGACGAGCGCTTGCATGCAACGCAGTGTCACAGCCGCCTGCTTTCGAACCAGGTGGCCGCGGACTAAAGCTTGGAGCCTGACAAGGCCTTTGAGAGCACGTAAAGCTCTTCTCGACTGCCAACCAGATTAAACGAACGCTTACATCAGTGACAGAGGTCTAAGCTGTCGCATACGATCTATCTGCGAGAGATGCTTACCAGAAAGCTGCGAAAGGCTGATTGAATCCGGATAGCGGCCCATTCCTCTCTAACAGTCCTGAAAGCGATGTGGGATTTATTGTTGGTACTTACCCCGAGACGTGCCACCGCCGCGGCGGCGTTGGCGGCGGCGGCAGCAGCCTCTGCGGCGACCGCCGCCGCCGCCAGGGCTTGCTGCTGCTGCTGCTGCTGGGAGCGATGGCCAAGCGATTCAACATCCACATCGTCCTGGATGGGATTTCGATGCTGATGATAGGATGAGCGCGTCTCTCGAATCACCTGGCTGATAACTTGATCGTGCAATGCCGCTGCCGTATCGCCGCCCCTGCGATCGTGCTCGCCTTGCTTCCACAAACCCCATCTCTTGGACGGCTTGTCCGCTTTCTTCTGGATGGAAGGAATGTCAGATATCTAGATCTTACAGAGATTGCGATTATACCTGATCTTCCGCCAGGGATCTGGAGCTGCTGTTGTTGCTGGACTTCTTCACGCCGATAAAGCTCTTGAACCATCTGCTAGACGCGCCCATTGTGGATATTTCGGCAGCTAGAAGCGCCTCTCGAGCGATTTGGTCCACGGCCGCTGCTAGAATGGAGCTCGCATCTGGCAAACCCAGAGGAATGGGGCAAACAGCTCGATACTATTGCTGGCGCCTTGGCCAGAACGAAGAACAAAGCCTTGGAGAAAAGCGATGGAGAATAGAACGGATGTAATAGGGCGAAGCGTGAGAGGAATAACCAAAAGAGCGTGACGAGGAGAAATAGAGCGGGATCAAAGAGCGTTTGAATGAATGGACAACTGCGTGGGACCTTGCGTCCACAGCGCCATGAAGACGTCAATCCAGTAGACGCACGACGCGTGGCACATTTTGCCGGCGTGAGCTCAGACAAGGTTAACTGTGCCGCCAGGTGGTGGTGTCCGAGTGGCTGTCGGTAAAAGGAGTTGAAACGGGACAACGAGCGGGAAGCGCGGGATGTTGTTTGAAAACTTTTAGGTTGTTAACCACAATTATTAGAACTGTGATTGCTTGGTAGCACCATCTTAGATTAGTACTAGTCATTGCTCACTATATGCTGCCCAATTAGCAAACACTAATTTGATTATCATTATTACATTGAAAATTAAATTGAAATAGTATTAAAATAACAATATTATATTAAACTTTGAAAGAAGAATTTAAAAAGTAACTATAAGCATATCATATTCCTTAGAGGGAATTATAAGATCTAAGTAAATCTCAACTGCAAAAAGTTGAATGTCAATGCCAATCAATACTTTGCATGTTATATGTGTCACAATGCTTTCTTCTCTTGCCTCAAGCAATTGGCCACCTCTTAATTAGCTAAAAGCAAACATTAGTGTCATTATTCGTAGTTATCAAGGCCAGACAAGTGTTTGAGAAAAATCCAATGAAGCTGGAATGTTGTTATTGCAGCAATTGCTGTGGCTAGGGATCTGGAGGAGGCACAGTGATTGTTTGATGGGATGCCTTTCTACAGTCTTGTGTCATGGACAATGATGATCACTGCATATGTGGATTGTGGAATGGTTGATGAAATGAAAAATTTGCTTCTTGCACTAATGCACAGAGACATTATGTAATGCTTTCGTGCTATGCCCAAAACTGGCATCTGGAGAAAGCCATGCCCTCTTAAATCAGATGCCAGAGCGAGATGTTTCGTCATATACAATGATGATATCAATTTTGGCATTAAGAAATGATTTAGAAAATGTGAAGGATCTGTTTGATTCTTTACCATTGCTCTATGATTATGACAAATGCCGAGAATGGGCAAATTGAAAAGGTGGCCATTGTTTTCTTTGAGATGCCCAAGTGGAACTATTGCTCGTGGAACAGCCTCCTGGGCACGATCACAGAGTTTAGGATCAATGATGCAATTGTGATGTTTTAGTGAATCCCTTTTAGAGACACAATTTCATGGAACCTGATGATTGCGGCTTGTGGCCATATCCGCAAGGCACAAGCTCTCTTTGCCATGATGCTGCAGAGAAATGTTGTCTCCTGGAGCACAATGATCGGAGCTTATGCACAACAAGGATTGGCCATGGATGCAAAGATCGTGTTTGATTCCATGGAGTCTCACGACACGGTCATGTGGAACTCATTGCTGGCAGCCTAACTTGCGAGTGATTGAGTGGGCGATGCTAGAAAAGTGTTTGATTCCATGCCTGATTGAGACATAGTGTCGTGGACATCAATGATCTCCACCCATGCTGTGTGGGGCTAGATGTGCGCTCTTCAATTCCATGCCACAGTGTCTTGTGGCAGCATGGAACATGATCATCTCCGGCTATGCGAGGAGCAGCAATCTTGATGAGGTGCAGCTCCTCTTTGGTCAAATGCCCCATCGCAATGCCAATGCCATGGTCGCAGTGCTCGCATTTGGTAGCAGGATTGAGCAGGCCAAGCTCTTCTTTGATCGATTTGTATCACCCAACTCCGCGATCTCCATGCTCAAGGACTGGGCGAGGCCTACACCCAGTCCGGGAGGATCGAGGAAGCAAGGGTGCCATTTGATTGCTTGAGCCCAGAAAATTGGGACTCTAGTGCGATCAAAGTGATCATCGATGCGTACGCCTGGATCGTGGATGTTGTAGATCTTCTCCCAAATCACCCATCCTGATGCCACAAGCTACAATGCCATGATCATAGCATTGGCCTTGAATGGGCATTTGCACAAGGCAAAGATCCTCCTCTCCAGGGTGAGAGAGCAACACAGTGTCCTAGAACACCATCCTCACGAGCTACATCCAATTCAGCCATCTTGGCCCAGCGATCGCAATCTTCCACACCATGCTAGATCCAAATCTAGTCTCCTGGACAGCAGTGATCACTTGCATCACCCATAATCCTGGATTACATTGATTGCCATTGGATCTTTTCCGCAAGCTCTAGCAGGAGGGCTGGAACTCCAGCGAGATCTGCTATAGAATACATGCATGTGACATGCATTGCTGCGCCTTCCTCTCTCACCCCACGCAGTTGGCCACCTCCCATTGGCCAGGAGCAAACCTCAATGTGATTATTTGCTAGGACATGGTTAAAGAAATACCCCTTTACAGTTACCCATAGGACAGTTGCAATTTTATGGATTTAGCAGCCTAGAAAGTTCAACAACTCCTCTTTATTATTATAGATGATGGTATTGTAATACATTTGTTATAGCATTCATTTTGTCCTAACCAGATGATGGCCATATAGAGTCCATATGAACTCAAATATGTATGCTGGTGATTGTCCACCATACAATCAACCCATGGCCAAGCATGGAATACAAGTTAACAATGTTTTAATTTGCATAAGGTGGAAGGTGTTTTCATACGCTGGCATGGTATAGATTTCTGGTTTTCCACCAGGTATGGCACCAATAAATAATAGAAGAAAATTAGTTTGCAGCACATTGTGGCTCTAAACCAGTTTAAGAGGTAGAGAATGTCAAATTTTGTCACTATAAATATTATTTAGGGTTCTTGGAGAGTTGGGCAGCTGATAGGACGATGTGAGGAGAGCTCCCGCAATGCCAATCTCAGCAGTATGTGAGCTGCATTGCTGTGATTCCTTCCCCTATTTGAAAAACCCCTGGGTCCATTTCAAAAGTGCCCATCATGACTCTATTTCAAGCATCGAGTTTTGGCAGGAAAGAGGTTTACCAAGCTGAGTAAACTTTGAGAAGAATTCTGAGATGCATCCACATCCCTCTACCAAAGAGAATCCTATCCTGAACCTTATGTTCATGTGCCTCAAGGTAATTGCCATAATGCTTATGAGTGCTCTCACCCTAGGGCAATGAGGCAGATAGTGTTGACACTTATACTACCTTATAACCTCTCCAAAAGTTGCATCAGGCAATCTAAAACCTCCAACACCACCATATAACATTTTTTTAGGTCAACATTCTATTGAGAATGATCCTTTCTCCATGAAGTGAATATGTAAAAATGACTTCGTTCCACAATAAGTAGGGATGGTCAAAAATTGAGTAATGTAATCAACAATAAGTTTTACAAAGAAATCTCATGTCAGAAAATGTTTTTCATTACTGAACTTGAAATTCATGAATTTAATTGTTAATGGTTCGGAGAAATTTATATTTTTTTAAAATCTAATACCAATTGAGTAGTTTCTAGAATTAGAAGTTTGTCCAAACTTATATAATTGCTATTTTTTATATTCACAATATTCTGGTTAAAATGAGCTTTTTTGGGCCCAAATAAAATGGGAATATTGAAGTTTGCTACGAACCTGAAAATTTTTATTATATATTTTGACAATTTAACATTTTGACATTTCAACAATTGATCAAAAATATATAAATAATTAAAAACCCTTATTCATTCATTCTCTAGAGTTTTACAAAGATGAGAAGCAAGAAAGACCAGAAATTTGTGAATAATTTTAACATAAAGAAATATGAGAATGTTAATTTTATTTTACTACCACAATCTCTATATTACACTTTTGGTCTTTATTACCCATCCACAAATGTAGAAACCATTATCATTATTGATAAAAATGTTTTTGTTACTTCCAAAACAATAGTTTAAAATAAGAGAAAAGAATAAATGAACAACACAGCAAAAATAATCAATAAATCCACTCCATAAAATATTTTATAGCATTTATAATTCACTAAAGAAAAGTAAGTTGTTTGTTTATTTCCTATTCTTCTTTGTATAAGTATGATATATTATCATAGTGAATCTTTGCAAGGAGTAATTAGTCTTTAGCTTATGGAACCCTAGAGCCACTTACCTTGTAATTAATATATAGCCCTATTATTGAGACTTATAATTAAGATTCGGTCTATTACCATATCATAATAAAACCTCATTCCCAAGATTAAAATGTAGTATGTAAACAATATAATCATCAAATTTTTTTTATTATTGTGGAGTGAGTAAGGCGTTTTTTGCCTATACTCGTATTCTTGCCCTTACTTGCAAAATAATGATAAACAAACAGAGACAAGAACATAAAAGAGGAGAAGAAAAAAAAATGAGAATGAGAAGAGAATAGAATATAAAAGAATTCAGCTTCAAACCCCAAAAGCATAAGTAAAGATAAGTATATATCACTCTCTCAACTCTACTTTGCACAAATAGTCATAAACAGGAGAAAAAATTGTTAATTCAATGCAAATGCATATAATAGTGAGTGGAGGTTGTTTTTTAGCATGTTTAAGTGTTATTTATATACTATATGATTTTATAATTGTTCCTAACTGCTTCTTGCCTAAGTCAAGTCTTTCTTTTTTGGATGCATAAACTTAGCCGTAATTCTATTTTGCTTAAACTTCCTTGTTCTGCTTTAACTCGAAAGATATACAAGATAAAACATTTACCTCTTCATCACTCCCCCACGACAAAGCTATTGCATGTCCTTAGATAGTCGGTTTCTCCAAATCTTACTCCAAACTATTGAGCTTAGCCTTTAGAGTGATAAACTTGATGCTTCGGACTGCTAGCTCACTTAGTTGATTTGTAGTCTTGTGAGCAAAGGCATGGTCTCGTACTTCTTTGATTCATCTAAAACCTATTTTATAGCTTATCAATCCAAATTTGGGATTGATCCAATATTTATTACCCTAATTAATAGTAAGTGTATTTTTGCCTATAAGTATCCAAGCTTTATTGTGGACTATTAAGGTTCCTACAATAGTGTAGCACACCTGAATTTGGAGCCGAACTCCAAGCCTGTTGCACTACGAAACAAGGGTCCGGTACAATCCCACGAGCACTAGCTCCCCGTATCCAGCACCT